AGCAGCAACAACAACACCATCAACAACAACAACAACAGCACCAACAACAACGACAGCAACAGCAGCAGCAGCAGCAACAACAGCAGCAGTAACAGCAGCAGCAAAAACAACGACAGCAACAGCAGCAGCAGCAACAACAACAGCTAAAACACGACGATTATTTTAGACTGAAAGAGTAAAAGGGATGACTAATTACAGCAATTATGCCAGCCATGACATCAGAAACTAGTAGCAGTGGTAACAACAACAACTACGTACCTTCCTTATGATGTCAAAGAAACATGGCGGAACTGTGATGTGCAAATCCATAAGAAATATTATACTATTTGGGTCCTGAAAAACAGGTGAACATTAGAAACCGTTTTAAATTGAAGATTTTAGTATTCTATAGTTTCTAGTTTCGCCGATATAACAAACATTACATTACATCCTTTACGTTAAATAAACTGCCTATTTTGCAAGTAGTAAATACAAGCTTGATATCAATATTGGCACAATATTGCCTCACTAACTTTTATGTTTGTTATATCGGCGAAACTCGCCGACACCTAAAAACACGCATCAAAGAACATCTTTCAGGGGACAAAAATTCTCACGTCCTCAAACATCTTAAAGCCTCAGCAGACTGTCACAATGCTAACTTTGAACGTAGCTTTGCAATTATTATTGACTCTGCGCAAACTGATTACCAGTTAAAAATCTAAGAGGCTATGCATATCAAATGGGAACAACCCCTTTTGAATCAACAGTTGACACACACTAAACTCGCCCTTATAGACCAAATTCAAAACTTGCACCGATGTGAGGCTTAAGTTGTGAACAAAGGAATCTGGCGTGATTTGTGACTTTTGAATCACGCCAGATTACTTTGAGTCACGCCAGATCCCTTTGTTCACAACTTAAGCCTCACATCGGTGCGAGTTTTGAATTTGGTCTATTGTGTAATCTTTGCTGTACATAATAGTTTTTTCTTTTCTTTTCTATATTAGGCACCAAATTCTCACGTGCTCTTATTAACTATACATTAGGTTATACATTTATTGCATCATTAACATCCACTGATGATGGCGGTATGTGCGCCGAAACATGTTTGGATTAAAGAAACTTGTTCTATTTCTTAAAATTGTTTCTTCACTGCTGAGTAACAAATAAATAATAAATAAATAAATAAATATCTTTTTATTTATACACGGTAGGTTTATTCTACGTTAATCTAAATGGATGGATGGATGGATGGATGGATGGGTGGGTGGATGGATGGA